GGAGTAGTCAGTCCACTCGTGACTAACATACATGGTGGAGGCAATAGGGCATCCGTTGGGGTTGGTTCTCCCAACTTCAAAGAGGTCGCGGTATAGCCCTTTGTTGAGATCGTTCACGGCATCGTCAAATGTTAATAGGACAATCTGAGGAACTGTCTCGGGGGCGAAACCACCTGTGTGAGGGTTCATGTGAAGGTTAACAGTGAGCCATAGGTGTGCACATATGTGTGTTTTGTTAGTTATGTTCACATGGTATATATGGTATGGCTATATCTTGTATACTGCGTGAAAGGGGTAGCTGATGACACATGCAATGTTGAGCGTAATGTTTCGTATATAAAAGAAAGAAATTCAAGAAATGTATTTTCCTGTGTAAATGATGAAAAAAATGTAAAATAAATGAATGATGATGCTGTAAATTTTGTAAATCTAGCGTTGTTGATAATACTTTTCGTAACTAAGGTGGCAAAAAGAAAATTTGCAGTTTATGAGACTTTTTGTATACAATTGTTATGGCAGATTACATGAATGTTTGTAAATTAGATATATAATTAATGATATGTTTATCTACTTTACTGATAACTTTATATGTGTCACCTGACATTATGTAAATGTCTAAATATATTCAATGTTGGATAAACAATGTGTCAAGACAGATATAAGGGCCAGAAGAAACTTATATTATAATCAAACACACACAAAAACACACACAGACAACACACAATTAATACGATACACCTACAGTACTAAGCAGTATTCTATTACGAGAGAATATGCTTCTTTTCAGATATTATTGCCAAATATACAACTATTTCTTCAATTAATATACGAAGCTCATGCATGATAATAAACGCACTGATGACTGGTTTTCCCTAGTACTTAACATGTATAGCACCCATGCAAATATGTGACTCCACATGTTGTACCCAAGCACAGACACGGCAAGGTCATGCAGGTATGCGAAAATTGAAATGCATACAGGCCACTAACATAAATAGCTAGGATTAAATATAATACGTGGGATACATGAACGCTTCTACAACACTCATACATTCACACTGATGAACTATTGATACAAGAAATAAAAAAAGAAAGAAAAAAAAGACATTATAGTTAACAATGAAACATTTTTGATTCTCTAAACATCTGTCAAGGTACTAACTTACATGATAATAGCAAGACCTGTAATACAGATTAACACAGTAATATCACGTACAGCAAGCATACTTAGCATGATCTATTATTTTCTTAAAATAAAAACACTTTGACACAAATGGTTAATTAACAACAAATAACACACTATAACAGATTAGTTATCATCATTGAATAATACTTCAGTATGTATGAATAGCAAAGATTTTAAATTCTCTTAATAGAATCCATCATTATCTCATAAACCGTAAAATCATTAACCATGATCCTTTGACTTTTCCTCCACTGCTGGTCAGCCCGAGGGCACCTTTGGGCATCAGTGGGCCTACCTGGAATATCTTTTCCTCCGCAGTAGCAGTCTGGGAGAACACACACTTTGGGGTCGCACTTGGTGGCCTTGGTGTCAACGGGAGGCTGAGGGCGGACTGGAGCTGGCCTGGGGGGAGGGGGAGGGGGTGTTATGGGTTAGTACATGTGTTGTGTGATTATGAGTGTAGAAATAAGATAACTCGAATTTTGGGTATGTACATATCATGAAAACACATGCACACATATACACTATACATATATATATACAAAATATATATTTGTATATATACATATATAAGTATATATATATATATATATATATATATATATATATATATATATATATATATATATATATATATATATTGGTAATGCATGTCTAAATAAAATCTACTTCACAATTGAGCATTAATTGATTCTTATATTTATATACATAATGCGCTTACAGAAGCACTCATGTTGCCTTGCATTAAAAGCAGTTACTTGTCTTAGTTAAGGAGGGGAGAAGGATCATTTAAGATAATAATCTATTTAGTGAATTGCAAACTTTAACGGTGAGTCGGGTAGTTTGGATAAAGTAAAGCTTTGGACATTAATTAGTGTTTATATTATGCTCTTGGGAAGAATTAAGCCTCTTGCAGTGCAAAAATACAAGAATGGTATAATATCCTTAGATAATATATATCAAAACTTAGTTTGTTATCTATTTTTTAGAACATTTAATTTCTGGAAATCGTAAAGCAAACTTACCTTCAAATCTGGTCGACGAAATCCATTCAGAAGTGAACTACCAATAACTACAGTGCTTTTTTTCATTACGTGACACTACATTTCTAACACAACTGCTATTGCATGCAAAATATGCCCTAAAAGCAATATGCTATAAGTCACATTATTAAATCTCACCAACAGAAGCTAGCCTTTCGTCACATGTCTTGCTTAACAAAAATGAACAAAAACCTTTCCAAAAGTATATATATACTGATTAAAAACATATATGTATATATAAAAATAAACATTATAAATATTTTCAAAAAAATATCATACATTTTTTTTTTTGTCACTTATGTCTGAAGATCTTATTAGTAAGCAAGCACAGAGCGACGCTGTAAGTGTACCCATGCACTTCTACAGTACTACAGAGATTGTATATACAAGTCAGGCCTATCTATTTACACTGTGTGGGGTATAACCAAAACTTATATTGTTTATAGTGTATCATGCATTATTTTCATTCGGGGTCATTAAACCAGGGTATGGAATATTGTTTTAATCGGTTTTGCGTGTATTTTCCTATATGTTATAGTCATCTGTATCTGTGATTCAACGCCTGTTCTAAGTATCGAAACTTGAACTCAAACTGGACAGAACACTGGCGTTCACTTATGAGAATGATACATATAAAAATACGCGTATGATAACCGTGTATCCGGGATTAAGAACAACTTTGAATTATCTTTATCGCTCTACACTATCGCGAGGTATGACGAAGTGTATACTGTTTTTCTTCTTTATTTCATTTGATCATTAATGAAAAAGGAAGTACCACTATAGTCGGGATAATACTTGTAACGCCTTTGCTGTCATCTGTCAATCAGTTTGTGTAATGTAAGGATCGGATTTCAAAATGTTTATGTTATTTTGGGTTGATTTTCGGTAAGATGTTATCGTTTTTTTCAGAAACAGGTGTACACATGCATGTGTAGAAGGAGATAACTATTTTCCGAACATTATGCATACCAGTACCCCCTCTGTTAATTGAGTACAGAACAGGAGACAATTACCTTACACAACATTCTGAAACATGCTACTAGGACGTGTATATCATGCTCATACTAAGGAATAAAAGCATCGCGACTTGTAATACTTAGTTATTTGTACTTCTTTCTAGTTGTGCGTTAAATGGGCATCCATATGTGCTCTCTCTATGTGCCATGAGGGGGGGAAAAAGCCATGAGGATGCCCCTCTGCGCCTAAATTCATTGAGGAGGACATGGAAGGTGCGAGAGTAAGAAGGACAAGCGGAACTAAGGAATAAAAGTGGCCACGGCGCGATTAAATAATGATCATTAAGAAAAAAAAAAATAAAATGCGGTACTGGCTCTCTTCGCTAATAGAATTTACCTCCTAGGGGGATATTTCCAGATATCGACGGAGGACGTGGCACCTGAGGGAGCGATTTCTGACACGGGCTTCAAGGTTGGACGCCTACTCCTGCAACCAAACGCCAGGGGAACTCAACAACAAGACTCAAAAAAAAAAAAAAAAAAAAAAAAAAAAAATCGTCGGAGACTGAGGTATTATTATTGTTATTCTTTTCTTTCTTTCCTTCTTTATTCTTGAGGTTGGGATGGGGATGGGGAGGGGGGGGTAAGGGGGGGATGTTTAAGAAAAGGGAGGAAAACCCAAAGGGAGACAAGCGTTTTATAGTTTATACAGCAATAGAAAGAGAGGGAGAAGGCTAGGGTTTTGTTTTAAATAATATAATAAGATGATTTTTATATAGAACATCGGGAGGCTCTAATTAATCACTGGTTTTATTATTAGTCACAGAGTAAGAGAACTTTTTGAGAAAAAGGAGAGTAAAAAAAATAAAGTAAAATTCTTGTAAAAACCATGATAAAGATCAGAAATCACTGGACATCACATTGCCATTACAGACAGGAAAATAATATTCTTGGTAAGTTCAACGAATGGAAAAAAGTTTCTTGTTCCAAAGTGAAATTAAAAATCCATGCAGTGGTTAGTGTTGTCACCTGGATAGCCCGGGTGACTTTAACCCAGTATGATAGTTTGAAGTTGTATGTAAAAGTAATTTCTTCAGACATTTATACTAACAAATGTTACATCAATTTGCGTGACAAACAATCATGCTGTACTGATATGCATATTGACGAATTTCTGTTTATTCATCTTCAATTGGAATTCTCACAATTACCCGGACATGTATTATATAAAAAAAATCTAATTTAGAAACATAAAACTAACCGACGAAATGCTGAAAAACAAAACAAAAAAATACTTATAAAATGAAATGAAATCACAGTAAGGTTTGTAATGTCTCTGTGATGAAGCCAACTCACCTCTTTGGCACCGAAGTGTCTACAGTCACGGGTCCACTGGATGAGGAAGAGGAGGAGGAGGACGACGAGGAACCGCGGTTGGACGATGAGGAAGAAGAGCTTGGGCGTCTTGACCTGCTAGGACAAGGAAGAAGGTTAGTTTTCGTGGTGTAGAATGCAGGCTCGAAATGAACTTAGCTTTATTTCTATGAGGGTTTTACATATACAACTCTTGATTTTTTTTTTCAGATGCTTTCAAAATCCAAGGTGTAGAATGCTGTTTTTATTTATTCTTTTTAGAACCGCATTGTTTTGGATTAACATTTATAACTGTTTTGATTTGCTTACAATGGTACTTGAATCCACTGCCATATTCTTGTAAATAGTTTGACGTAAACAGTGATAATAATACTAAAAAAAAACAGTAGTGGTTAAAGTGATATACAAGTTTGTTTAGTCAGAGATATTTCAACCCCATTTTTTTTTTTTTTTTTTTTTTCTTTTTTAACCACCACCATGAAAGCACTTCATTTAACTGAAAAAGAAATGTATTTATGCTAGTGCATGCGGTCTGACAATAATATCAGATTCATGTCTTTATGATAATTTGCCTCCCCGCTCTGCACTATGCATTGATAATGAAATCTATCTGATATGCGTGTACAAATTCAAGCAGTCAACTTTCTTTTTTTCTTTCTTTCTTTCTCTCTCTCTCTCTCTCTCTCTCTCTCTCTCTCTATATATATATATATATATATATATATATATATACATACATACATACATATATACATACATACATACACACACACGCACAAATACATACACACACACACACACACACACACACATGTATATATATACGTATATATATATATATATATATATATATATATATATATATATATATATATATATATATACGTATATATATATATATATATATATATATATATATATATATATATATATATATATATATATGTATATATATATAATGTGTATGATTGTGAGTGTGTGTTTGTACATGTGGAATTGGATGTGTCATAATTTCTATGAACCAGAAAAATAGAAAGCTGATCAATTATCCATGTACAAACTTCATTCTTAACAGTAAATTACAAGACATGATTTGCATGCATTGTCACATTATATGCTGTCTAATGTTACTGGATCTGCTAAACCACTCTGAAAGCCAACGCAATGTCGTCTTTTTTTCCCCTTGTCACTTATTAACAAGGAAAATCGAAGTGTGATCTGCTCTCGGGAAAATGTCAAGTCATCGTCAACTGTAGCAGAGGAGGAAAATGTTTGAAGGTTGTAGGCGGGTTGACACTGGTGCTCAATGTCCTCGGCTGCAAACACAATAACAACTCTGTGTTAAGGCTGCATAAGGGTGTTTGACCAAAGGGCCTTGGAGTCTGTAGGATTGAAGCGTCCAAAAGTTCCCAGGTCGAAGCTCCAGATGCGAGAACGTGTATACTATTCAAGGATTTTTCATCCTTTTTTTTCCTTTCTTGTTTTGTATCTGTACACACGGGTTTGTAGCATCAAAATGGGCGAAGGGAGGATGGGAAACCTTTATAATCGTTATCCATGGGTTAGATAATGCCCCATGCCCATCGATAGGGTCGGTATGATCATAGAAATGTTGAATGACATGGATATACTGGACTGCTTTGGAATGTTTGTCTTTATATGAAAATATTTAGACAGAGCGATAGAATGAGAAGAATGTGGGAAATTCAGCAAACTGCATGGAAAGTAAATTGCGAAAGGAGAAAACAGTCGGACCACTTGTCAGATTTAAATGTCTCTGTGTGAAGCTTTAAATTGTCTTGATTATCATGAGCACATGCTTCTCCAGGCCATGCATTATGTGATGACTAAACGCCATGCTGTAGGGGGGTAGCATGGGATGTGTTATCCCAATTCATTTAGACAGAGACCTTTTATACAACATACCTCTGGGTACTCTCGGGGGAACTAGAGGAACGGATACCGGAAGAGGGAGAAGAAGACTGAGAGGAGCGTTGGGAGGAGGAGGAGGAAGAAGAAGAAGTAGAGGGAGAGCCTCGAGAGGATGACTCGGAGGCACGGAGAGTACTGGAAGCTGAGGATGGCTGGGAGGAGGAGGAGGAAGAAGAGGAGCGAGAGAGGGTGGAGGTGAGGGGAGCTCTCGCCCTCAAGGCCTGGGAGGACATCTGCTCATTGACGGGCGCGCGGGAAATAGCCTGGGGTTTCTTGGCCGGGATCGCAGCCTGGACTCGGGCTGGGTGAGCTCGGATCTCGCTCCCGGAGGAGGACTGGGATTGGGACTGGGATTGGGGTTGGGATCTGGACCGGGATTGGGTTCGGGAAACGGTCTCTTCGGCACGGGGGGATTGGGGTTGCCTAAAGGACTGTTGGCGGGAGGATTCAGAGCGGCCAGGCTTTGAGATAGTAGATTGGTCGGGGGATTCGACGCCCGAGAAGGAAAAGGAGGAGCCAGGGCGTGCAGAATCAAAGTCAAAGTCGGAAAATTCGAAGAGCTGGGTTAGACCGTCCCTGTAACAACAACACACCGTCAGCATTCTCACTGACACCTTTTTTTATCGCGTTGCCGGTGCATTACTGGGTTACAGTTAGAAGACTTATTATTTATGACATTTGCAAAGAGCTAGAAATATACATATAACAAACACATAAACGAGCATGCCTCATGACTGAATTATTATTATATTTACATGCTACATACGTGCTCTCAAGTGATATTTCAGCTGACACACAAACAGGGTAAATGAGGTATATATACATACATAAAACATAACATAATGAAATTTGGATAATCCATGCTACTCTTCGTTGTCACCAATAGGGATTATAAGTGTCATGCACACATGATTAGGAAAACAATTTAGAAGCACAGTATTAAAACATTCCAGCATGCATTTAATTGCATACATCCAAGTGTGAGATCATTTTAAGGGCTGTGATAATAGGCCTCTTTGAAAATAATGTGCCTTTACACTGCACGGACCCAGGTTGAGAGTCGCATCACTAGAAATGACTTTCCATTAAGACTCGTGGCCAAATGATGTAAACCATCAAGATAAAAAGGAACATCACTTCATCTTCCCAGAAAGTCAGGTGATGCTCGACCCACACCCTAGAGCCCATGGTACTGAAGGGCGAACAGAACCTGGAGGAGGAGGAGGAGGAGGGAAGGGGCTGGCTCCTGGAGGACGACGCGGTGAGCCTGGAAGGAGAGCTCGACGCCCGGAGGGAGGAAGAGGGGGTAGGGGAGTTACTAGAGGGGAGAGAAGATCCACTTCTTGCAGTTCCTCCCCTTGAGAAAGACTTGGAGCTAGAGGCAGCCACGCGACGTCTAAAAGGTTGACATCATGCTGTGAGTTGTTTTAACCCTATCTAAGGTATCTGTGATTGACTGGAAAACCTTTGGTGGTCATGGCTACTGAACTTGGATTTGTGTATATACATACGTACATGCATATATTGACACACACACAAAAACTTGACAAACACTTTAAAACACACCATGGATTCCCAATCAACCAAATTTATGAATCTATATTTACAAATAATGAGTTTTCAAAAAGGAACTACTTATAATACATGGAGAAAACATGCGATTCGTGCGTTGATATTCACTGTGCATATACAAGACAATATATGAAAGAATATCCAAAAGGTTGATCATAACACCGCCACAAAATAAACATACAAAGGACTAACTATATAGACTATAGATTATCAACCTATTCTAATGAACTAAGAAGTTTATATACACATTTTATATATATTTACTGTGTATACATACATACATACATATATACAGAGATACATACATACATGCATCTATATATACATACATTATATATATATATATATATATATATATATATATATATATATATATATATATATATATATATATATAAATGCATATATGCACATCATTGTGAAAGTATATACAAACACAGAATAAATGAAGAACCAATATAGTGTGAGAGTAGGAGAGCAATGCAATAGTGGGTGTAAGAGTCTATGCCCAAGAGTAGCCGTGTGTAAAGCAGGGGGGAGAGGGAGAGGCACAACGCAAGCGATATTCTAAAACCAAAGGAACAAGGAACAAAGAGACAAAGAGCGTGGTTTGTTTGTTCCTTGTGCTCGAAAAACGACTTTCCCATTACACTTCTTTTATTTATTTAATAGGCGAAACACGAAAGCTTTTATTGAAGAGAGACATAACCAAATCACCTTTTATACAGAAGAGGTTTATCTTTATTTATATTCAATGATCATAAGATATGATACATCTCGAAACCCCATTGGCGTTCTAATGCATACCTAAAAGCAGGAAGAATAACGATAAAGTGATAAATAAAGGAAACAAAAGAAAAACAATCAAGAAGCAAGCCGTCTGGATAAGATTAGGTAACTATGACAATTACGGCATAATCTGGATTAATCATGCGCTGGTTATTTGATTAATTAACTTTTAACTGCCGATTTTATGCTAATTAAACATTAATACAAACTCCATTTTCAACTGGAGGCTTTAGTCTGACCATGCAGCTAAAAGAGTTAAATAAAAGGCCTCTACAAAGCCGACAAACAGTAATCGTTTTTTCTCGGTAACCAGCGCATACCTTTCAGGAATAGGCCTCAATTTAGGACCGGCGGTGGGAGCGGGGGTGGTGGAGGTGGTGGTGGTAGTGGTGGTAGTGCGAGGACGGGGTTTGGTTGTGGTTGTGGTTGTGGTGGTACTTGTGGTGGTGGTTGTGGTTGAACGTGGCGGAGGTCGGGTCTCAAACTCAACCGCACTTGTGACCTCTCTACGACGTTCAAGCAACCAAACTCGAGATCAGTTTTATGATTTTTAATTTTATTTTTTATTTTATCTTATTTTTCTTTTTTCTTAAAATTTATTTTCAATTTTGTGGTAAAAAGGAGAGAGACGAAATGCTAAAATATCTGAATATCAAAAGCATGGAGGAAGAACTGTGATTTTAAGACAGAAGTCAAGTCCTTAGAACAATAACATGAAAACAAACAAACATTCTTTGCCGGTTTACAGAGAATAAGTGCAAAATCACACAAATGTATAGGCCTATCCCACAAATGCAAATATTGAAGACTCAGAAAATGAGAGTAAGTTCAAAAGAAAAATTAACACGGAAAATCTGCCTTTATCATATTAAGACATATTATTTATCATATATACAGGAAAGTAATTTTAAAGAGAAGAAACCACCGTATGAACACAGATGTTTACATATTCAGAACGTTTAGATTATGTGTATACATATATATATATATATTTGGGTATATTTTATATGAATTTCCTTATGTAATACCTTAAAAAAAATGCTACCAAATGTTTGAGTTACTCCTAAAAAAGCACGCAGATTAAAGAAAATTGTTTGTATTCTAGCCCTAACTAAAAGAAGCTTTACATTACCTGGTTGGAGCTGCAGTTGCTGGGCGTCTGACTGGAGGAGGTGTAGCAGTTGGAGCATTGTCGTAGTAATCTACGTCTTAAAGAAAAGATATAAAGATAATTAGCTGAAAAAATATATAAAAATGTAATATAATACGTTCCTATTTCCTTGGCTATTTTTTTACCATATAAGTGCATAACGAAATTCATTTCAGATATTCAAATACATACCGTAAAGGTCGTAATAGTAGAAGTAATCGGCATCAGTGAAGTTAAGATCGCCGTAGAAAGTGTCATCAACGGAAGGAGTGACAGTTAGCTGAGGAGCTGGACGAGGAGCAGGAGTAGGCTGGCGTGGACTGTAATGTTTTTGAGAGCTGTTATTTCTGTTTTTTTTAAATAGAAATATTCGATTCAGATTGTCACACATGCGTACCTTTGTACACACACACACACACACACACACACACACACACACACACACACACACACACACACACACACACACACACACACACACACACACACACAAACAAACAAACCTACATACTCGAACAAAAAATATACAGATCTACACATATACAATCGCGCTGATACATACACATTACTAACACTTTAAGCTTGACTATCAAGACAAATGTACATCTAACCGACAAAGAATACAGATTTTAAGATTTTATCCACTGATATCAACAATTCAAAATTCTAAGGTTCTACAGCACACGCAAAGCATCACTACTTCACTACAGAACTTACATGTGCAACATATCTTAACACCAATATATCTACCTTCACCGGTCATGCATTGGCACAACACTGCTCGAGTCTGCTTGAAATCATGCTTTGTAATATAATTTTCTCCCATATATAATAATGAAAGGATTTTTTTTTTCTTTTTGTTTCTTAAATTCAGATTATTAAATCCAGATTTAGTGCTGCTTCTCACAGAGAACTTTAAACAAGATGTGGTAACTGCTGAGGATGGAGGATCTTAAAAAAATTAAATATTATTTTTCCCCTAAGAATTTATCTTTATTGGTAGAGAACCTTAAAAATCTGTCATTTTTTACTCCATTGATTTTTTTTATTTTTTATTGGCAGCTCTAAAGTCTGTAATGGGTAGAGAATCTAAAAAAAATCTATATAATTTTCCCCCCAAGATTTTTATTTTTTAACTGGCAGCTCTAAAGTCTGTAGTGGGTGCGCATGAGCAGTGCTGCGGGATACCTGGATGATTGCTGGTCGTCGTGGGTGGGGATGTGGTTGGGTGTGGGCGGGAACGAGTCAGAGGTCTGAGGAGAACTCGCGGGCAGTCGTGAGAGTTCAGGGTGACGGGCAGTGCCAGGAATCTGAGGGGGTTTGGCTAACGAGATCACGTTTTCGGGGGAATCAGCAGAGACCACTTTCCTGAAGGGAGGGAACGTCGACCTCTGTCTGGAGAACGGGGTCTTCGCGGTGGTGACTTTAGGGGGGCGACGGGTAAGGTGGGCGGGGGAGGAGGTGGGGCGCCGGGTGGGACGGGTCGCGGGAGTGGTAGCGACGGTAGCGGGACTGGTTGGTCTGGTTAGGGACGTCGTAGGGCGTGGGGCTAGGGTGGTAGGGCGGGGTTTTGGAGTCGTGCGGATTGGGATGGTGTGGCGAGGTGCAAGCGTCGTGGGGCGGGGTGCGGGCGTGGTGTGGCGAGGGGCGAAGGTTGTGGGGCGCGGGGCAAAGGTTGTGGGGCGAGGAGCAAAGGTTGTGGGGCGCGGGGCAAAGGTTGTGGGGCGCGGGGCTGGTGTGGTGGAGAAATGGCTGTGGGATTCGGGGTCGAAAGGCTGGGGGGGAAACGCGGATCCTGGCAGTGGAGGGGGGAACTGAGGACGCCCATCGAGTGGTGGGCGTGGCAGGAATTGACTGCTTTCTGGAGGAGGAGGAGGGAATACTGGCTGCCTCTCGGGTGGAAGAGGGACTTCTGGGTCGAAGGGGTGCTGAGGACTCTGCCCAGGGACAACAAAGTGCGAGGGGATTTGGGAGGGACTGGGCGGGGCAACAGGCTTGGCCTCCTCCGGCACGAAGGGCTCAGCCACGGACTCGTGGTGGAGGAACGACCCGGGGTGGGGGCGAGGCAGGAAGGCGTCCGTTTGAGGAGGTGGCCGGAAGGGGTCGACCTGGGGCCGTGGTCGGAAAGGGTCGGCTTGGGGCCTGGGGCGGAATGGGTCAACCTGGGGCCTGGGGCGGAAGGGATCGACCTGAGGTCTAGGACGAAATTGGCCTTGCGGCCGCGGCCTGGCAAGGTCAGCCTGGGGCCTGTGCACAAGGATTTGTTGCTGGGTCGGAGGCTGCCTTCCCTGGCCATTGGCAAACGGCCTCGTGTCAAAGGTCTCTCCGAAGTGGCTGAAGTGCTGGAAGTTTCCGAAGGGGTTGGCGGGGGACTGCGGGGGGAACTGGCCTGGGGGGAAGCGACTGCTCTGGGGGAAGCGAGAAAACTGCTGCGTATGGAACGTGTTGGGGGGGAAGCCCTGGTTTAAGAAACTTCCCTGAGGAAGCGACTGCCT